AAATTCTGGCCATAATTTCATTGCCCTTCTCATGGACTCAGTTGAAAAATAGAGGACTTTAAAATGATTTTCAGAATCATGTAAGATGTATAATATGTTACATTATGCAAAAAAAGTGGTTTATTACCAAAGGACTGCTACATCCATTGTTGTGACAACCTGCCCGCAAACTACGTCACACCATTTTCCACGCCCAGCTATTGTTATGGTCTATGCATTTACTGTATTTTTAAAGGTTATATCCTAGACGTCTTCATATTAGTTTTGAAGTTTTATGTTTTTAGACGTATTAATGTCTATCATATAACCTCTAAAAACACAGACAGTTACCAGGCGTGGCAAATAGTGTGACGTAGAGTGCGGGCAACCAACCCGTAGTGGACTANATGTTTTAGAGTTGATTTTTACTCTATATTTTTTCCTGTGTAGAAGTAATGAGTATTTTTTTGCAAATAAAAGATGATTTTGAGTGATTTGATTTTTGAAGTATATTAGGCATGTTATACATTATTGAAAAGCTCTTTTTAGAGACTATTTTAATTAATGAATAATTAATTCAATTGTTTTTAATTCAGAAAAATGAGTAACGACTAACACTTGAATTTTTTCGTTCGGCTCATTTGATAGAGATTACTTTTCTCGTATTTGACGATCTCGGATAGCTAGATTAATGTCATTGATTAATTTTTATTAATAAACAATATTTAGGTACATTTTTTTCAAACATTTTTTAATATAAGGGTACTAAAATTCTACGTTATCGTAAAGAGATAAAAAATCTCTGTCAAAGGAGCCTAACGAAAGGGTACATTGCCATTTAAAAAACTTCAAGTGTTATTCGTTGCTCATTTGTTTTCTGAAATAAAAACAATTGAATGCTGTCTTATTATGGCAAAATAAATTTATAAAGCTGATACGTACCAAGATACCTATATACTATATTCCACACATAATGGGCACCCTGTATAATAGAATACTCAATCACGTCAAAGAGACATTGCATGTTAACCAGCATGGATTTATCCCTAATAGATCTGTAGAAACAAACTTAATTATCTTAAATGAATATGTTAGTTCTGAATTGGATGGAAAAGGTCAGGTTGGCGTTATATACACTGACTTTGCTAAAGCGTTCGATAAAGTGAATCATGATGTACTTTTAGAGAAGTTAGCTTTGTATGGTTTTTCTAAATAAACATTAACTTTTTTTGTATCTTATTTGGCAAACAGATATTTCTACGTTAGTTTATAAACATAGTGAGTCACAAAAATTTAAGAAAGGNGAGAAGTCATCGCTTGGTTACATGAACATTTTCCAAACAAATGGATTGGCAATGGAGGTCCAGTAGTCTGGCCACCACGATCCCCAGATCTAAATCCGCTGGATTATTATTTCTGGGGACACATGAAGCAGCTTGTATACCATGTAGAAATTACTACCCGTCAGCAACTACTGGACAGAATTCAAGATGCGGCTAATAGCATACGGAATGATCCAAATATCATACGTCGTGTGATAGAATCTTTACTTCGTCGATGTGAGGCGTGCATTCAAGCTGAAGGCGGACAATTTTTGTAATTTTTAAACTTATTTTCTATGTTACATTTTCATTTGCCTATTAAACTGTGTAAAATTTTCAAAGGCTTGTAACTCTTTAACCAAAATGAATCGGACCCATATTCATATAACATTTTTTCCTTAGNTCTAGTAAACCTCATTCAAGAGCATTTAGTCGTAGTTTTTGCAACAACAATTTTACAATGACAACGAAGACTTTGTCAAAAACATAATTGTTACCGACGAGGGAACATTTACATTGAGCGGACAAGTAAATAGAAAAAAATTTGCTACCCAAAATTCATATTGGGCACGAAAATCACAGTCAATATCCGCAAAAGATCAATGTGTGGAGGAAATAGTACGGGATACTGTACTGGGTCATTACTTTTTTGAAGAAACCTTAACTGGAGAGAGGTGTTTACATTTTTCAAAATGATATCATTCCTTTCATAACAGCTAGATTTTCCGATAATGTTGACCCAACCCAATTCCAACGGCAGTTATTCCAACAAGATGGCGCGCCACCACACTTCAACAAACTATACTAAATTACGTTTTGACCATAGTTAGTTCATGGCTACTGCTATTTATATCATGTTAAGCAAATTTGAATAGTTAAACTTTAAAGTAACTTTTTTCGAAAATTTTCTTATGTAACCAATATTAATATTGACTGTACTGGATTCAGAACAATATCCTCTTTCATATTCCGCAATAAAAATGGGGTATTGCCATTTGAAAAAAATATCGATAACGTCATAACTCGTTTAAAAATGACGGAAAAAATTTAAAATCTTTAGACCCGTTTCATGGATGTTTCCATAAACCGTTTTTAATGATTTTATCGCCTATATCCGTTACTTTACGGAAACACTGTGTAATACATATATTGGTATATCTCTATTATGTAACAGGTGTGTTACATCTTGAAGCATGATACGGTCAAATGCTTTTTTAAAATCAATGACACACAGATAGGCGGGTTTATTGTACTCGATACTCTTCTCAACCACTTGACGCAAGATGAATGAGTGCATGATCTTTCAAATCGGAATCCTTATTAGTGCCTTATTGCTCGTTAGCAAGCGAAGTAAGTGGGTTAATTTTGTTCGTTATAATTTTTTTTGTTGTTAATTTCAGCACTGTGTCTAATAAATGTATACCTCGATAGTTGTTGGATTTCTGTATGTCACCTTTTTCAACTATCAGAATCACTATACTAATTTTCCAAGCATCAAGTATTTTGGTTTGCAATAGGGTTTTTTGAATAAGATTTGTTACTTTGTTACATACCTTATCAGTTCATTCAATATTCCGTTTCATCCTGGTGATATTTTGTTCCTAAACGTTTTTACAGGTTCTTCTACTTCTTCATGCCTTATTTGTATATTTTGTCTGATCTATGGTAGATGAATATCTCTACTCTCAATCTTTCCTTTGAATAGTTCTTTTGAATACCTTTTCCATTCTTCTTCTGTGATTTGTGTGTTTTGAACTAGAGATTTTTTCCTAGTAGTTATTTTCAATAGATCTTACTAGCAAGTTTGTTTCATTTTGTACTAGTTTGTAGGTTTCGTGGGCTTCTGGGGTTTTAGTGTTCTAGAGTTTAAATAGGTCTTTTGTTTTTCCTTACATTTATTTTTTATTTCTTAGCAAAACCACGGTGTTCTGCTGTTACCTCTGTTACTGTTTACTATGATAGTTTGTTTTCCTAGTGCTACCGTCGCGTGTCGCTGCGTTTTCTATGTTTGTGTTCTTCTTTAATCTATTTCTATATAGACCCTTAGTTGACACAGTCCATAATATTTCTGTTTTAGTTTTTCTGTAGTCGTTCGTTCTGGTTTTTCTTATTATTATCTTGATTCGAAAATTTCCCAGTAGCAATCTGTATTCACTGCCTACATTTACCGATATTAATATTCCATCGGTATCATTTGTGTTGGGTGTATGTGTCTGTTGGTTACTATGAAACCTATCGCAAATATTTGGCCCCTACAGTTTTGTATTTATACTGATCTTTGTATCCAAAATACGTATTATTCATTCGAAGTTCATTATAAAGCAGAAATTTATGACCAGTTCTTCATTGTTATTAAAATGTTCTTCGTTAAACCGTTGTTTTATTCCCGGACTACTTTATTACCAATACGTGCTAAGTCGCCTAAAAGTATTAGTTGTTCTTCTTGGGGTTGAGTTTACTCTATCCTGTAGCGCCTCAAAGAAACATTCTCTTTCGTTCCTTGGTTTACAATCTTCAGAACAGTAAATAGAGACAATGTTCAACTTACGGTGGTCTATTGTTATTTTTAAGCATATATTCTTTCCGAGACGTAATGGCAGCTTTCTATTTCATTTTTATATGTTCTATTTATAAGGATAACGACGTCTGCTTTCGCCCTTTGATCTTTCTCCAAACTTGACCAACGTTGTGTATTTAACAAAATTGTAAAAAAAGTTCTTAATTAAATTGTCAGACAAAAATAGTGTTACATTTTGAAAACTAGTTTTGAATTATTCTAACGAAGAAATGGCATACATTTCATGTACAGGCGAGCAGATGATAACAGTAATTTGACTCGATGGCTTTATGCCGAAACATTTCCGAATTGAAGATGTCGAACTAAAGGGACTTTTTCGGCAATCCATTAATGTTTTCGGGAGACAGGTTATTTTAAACGGAATACTTCAGATTGTGGAGTTCCAATCAGCACCAGAGTACAAGCGTTTCAAGNTATAATCTTAAAATAAATGAAGCGTTTTTTAATTCTGTCCATCGTTCGTTTTAGACGGTAAGAATTTTAACTGTTATGTTTCTTGACGTCATATTGTATTTCGATTTTCTGTTTTTAGTTGCGCCTGAAGACGAAAAGTAATATTTTTTGAAACCGGTTGCGCAGATAAGCAAATTAATTAATAAACACTAATTCTTCACACATTTTTTGTGTTTTTCATTAACTAAAATAGACTGTATACTACCCAAAGTTTTTGTAGTTATATATTTCTATTTAATATAGTTAATATAGTAAGTTATTATAATCGTTATCTTTTTCCATCTTGTAGATTTAATAAAACTCAATTTTTGCACTTTTCTGGATGGATGTATTGTATTTTAAGTTCTACCGGTTTCGATTCTTGCAAATCATCTTCAGGAACTACGTCAGAACATGATTCTTTATGATTTTTTCTTATAAACACCAGCAACGTATCAAATACCTCCTTGAGAAGCCACGCGTTCCTCCGCATCTTAGTGGCATCTTAGCGTCGTTCGTCGGCAAGAGTAAAATCATGTGGCCCGGGCGAACACGGCGTCGTCGGGCGCGTCGTTCGCGAGCCAATAGCGTGGTCGCGTCGGTCGCTGTACGGTCCAATGGCCGCCAGTCTTACCCCCGGCACACTCGATCGCTGGCCATAGCCGTCGGTAGCCGACTGAATAGATCCAGATCGCGTCCTCTTCAAACGGACGTACACGGGTTGCCGTAAAGTCGCGTCGCTGCTCTACGATAACGACCGGGAACGTCACTATTTACTCCTAGTACTAGTTATAGCACGAAGCCGGTATCCGTGGGTAACGAATACGCCGTCGGCAATCATTTAGACGCGTCGCGACGCATGCGTGCCCGATTAAGTGAAAGGTGAAGCTACGCGTGTGCGTGTCATAAAAACAAATTAATTAAAAAAATATATATATAAATTTATAATATATCATTAAAAGATATAGCAACGTCGATATTTTAGGTTTGTTTTTTTTTCTTTGGTCTGTTACTTTTATTTGTGACGAAGAGTTCATAACGTGATTTTTATTTATGATGAATTGGGGATGAATTTGTAAGTACTTTTTTAATTATTTGTTATTATACAACATATAAAGGGTGAGTTATTAGTATCTCGGCTGACGATAATTACTAAACTATTTGAAAAACGAAAAAAAGTTGTTTGATTCATCACTGTCTATTACGTAAAATTGTTTTCACTTATACAGGTGTTCCATTTAAGTGTAACGGAGAGTACGTAAATTTATTTAAATGGAACACCCTGTATATTTTATCATATTATGAATACAACTAAATTTATTTATACAACCCTATATGTTAATATTTCACAGCGTTCATTGTTCCTGATATATTCAATTGTTCTTCCAAAATATGCCTATTACAGGATCTTTTTGAAAACGATGTAAAAACGAAATTTTTTCCTATTTTGCCTTGAAACTACCTCAAATGGCTTTTCCTTAAGTTTTTTAAATGGTTTTTAAATTTAAATTCCCTTTAATTAACGATAAGTATGTCATGTAATATATTAGAATGTAATATATTCTGTCCTTTTTTGACACTTTTTTTTTGTTTTTTCTTTTTTGTTTGTCTGTCATTTGTAAATCAGTAATATTGTATTAATTCAATTAAAAAAAAAACTTTAATAAATAAATAATCAAAACGTGATAAAAATACAAAAAATACTATTAAATGGCAGAACAATAAATCTCTTTTTTAATTACTAAATTATTTGAAGAAAATGCAGCAACAACCTATAAACAATTACTAAAAATTGTTCAAAATGCCGCCCATTTTCTCTTCTACAAGCATTAATGCGCTGTATAAAAAATTTTGAGGTATCTCTTAACATGTGCATCTTATTTTCTCTAAAGTCGGCGTATTTTATTACTTACATCTTTTTAAATCTCATAAAGTACCAAGTCGCATTAAAATTTAGTATATGGCAGCAAAATTATTTTAAATTATAAAATATTAATCAAATAATAAAAGGAAGAACAAAAAAAACTGATAAAAATAGACAGAATATAATATTAAGTACAATAACGCATATTTTATTACACATTATTCTTTAAATTCTAAATATCAGAAAAACTACTAAAGTTAGATATATGACATGCTTATCATTAATTAAAGGTAACTTGATGGGCAATTCAACCAGCATACAATATACAGGGTGTTCCATTTAAAAAACTTATGATAAAGCCATTTGAAAAACATCAAAAGTAACTAAGCTTTATGAATACGCTGTATAGCGTATCTAATATCTTTGGATACTATCTTTTATCTACTGGTTTTGACTATTATCTGACATAGTTTCAAGGCAAAATTGGAAAAAATGTCGGTTTTACATAGTTTTTAAACCGTTTTTACTCCGTTACGCTTAAATGGAACACCCTGTATAAGTGAAAATAATTATATTCAACGCTCTGTATTTTCATTCTTAAAACGGCTACATCCAAAAACTTAGTTGAAAAATGATGAGCTCTAAGATACGCAACTTTGCCCCCATTTAACCATTTCTGTATCTCTTATGGTTTCTGAGATCCCAATGGTGGGGGTCGAATTTGAATTACCCTGTATATATCTAATAATTGAGCAATTATATATATATATTAAATATGTTAATGTTTAGTAGTCGTGTACGAGAAAAGAATCCTTGTAATTAGTTTATCGTTTACATCATAATTAGATCCAACTATTAGAATCGGTTACATTTATACAGGCTGATTCAAAAAACCGTTGACAGACTTCTAGGGCAGGTAATACATCAAAAATTAAGATGAAAAGTCTTAATATACATGGGCTTGCAAATGCCACCTTAATGAGATATAAGGCTGTGAATGTTTCTTTAAAATTAAACATTATCTGCAATAAAAAACCCTTTTTTAAAAATATTTTCATCGCCGCTGCTAATTTTGTCAAACGGGCAGTATTTGCGTGTAAAATGATCAATTATCTATCAATTGGTCTCTTACAACACTTTGATTAAAGCAACAATTTTTGATTGGATTAACAAATTTTCTACAAACGTGTTTTTCTTAAAAACTATTGCTTATAGATAGATAATTGATCACTTTACACGAAAATACTGCTCATTTGACAAAATTAGCAATGGCGTAGACTCTCCGTTATACTGTTCTATCACATACACCTGATAAAAAGTTTTTTGTTGAAGGAAAAGTGTCTTTTAACTGCACCGCAACCTCTATTTTTGTGCAATAAAAAATAATAGTACTATACAGTATTATAATATAAACGCTTATAAACATTATTTTGCAAAAACAGCAAAACAAGTCTGTATTAGTTTTTCAAAATACACATTTTGAACCCGTATTCACTTCCCGATGCCATTTTAAGTTCCGGAATAAAAAAAATTGTTGATGACGTCATAACTTAAAAACAAATTACTATCGGGAAGTGAATATGGGCTTAAAATGTATGTTTTGAAAAACCAAAATAGACTTATTTTGCCGTTTTTGCAAAAAGTGTATAAGCATTTTATTGAATTTATTCCATAATTTTGCCGCACACTGTATATGTCATATACGGGGTGTTTATGTAAGCCGTGCCATAATTTTAATCACTAATACTAGAGTAAAAATAATGACGACTCGTGCAAAAATTTTTGGCCTAAACTCATAAATGGGTAAGATATGGGCCGTCGAAGATAATAAATTTTTAAATATGTTCAATATGGTTTGTCTTAGAAACATTAATTTTGGCAACAAGGTGTTTACAAAGATTATTTCCCTAAAACTTTTTTATTTAGAAGCGTTTATTTTGAACGCTTAAATTGTACAACTGATTCTAAAAGTCTATTTCATTTTAAGTTTATTATTTTTGAATTGTTCACAATAAGATTAAAGCAACCTGTCAATCTTAGTTAATTCGAACAAAGTGAATTTATTAACAACAAAAATAGCAGATTACAAAAACAACTCTTCAAACATGAATACCAATACCAATGCTTTAATGCGACATCTTAAAGTAACTCGTAAGCGAGACAATGCGTTTTCTTGGCGTATTTTTGTAAACGATTCCATAATTTGTTGCGGTCATTGTTATACAGTGTCGATATCCCAATTGTATACCAAATCTTTAACACGCCCCCATAAATAAAAATAAGTGACATGGGCTTATTCCTCGTCCAATCCAAAGTTTTGATGTAACCACTCTTTAATAGTATTAATACAATGAAGTGGCGCTCCATCATGTTTGAATTATGAACTTGATAGTTCGTAGTGACTTAATAGTTCACCACATTTGAAGTCTTCTTTCATATGAAACATCGTCTAATAACTCTCGCATATTTTCCGTGTTCCAAATAACTAATAACATCCAGCCCAAACGTTTACGCAGAATTTCCATGACATTAACAAATGCGTAAAATCTGGTTTTTGTTCTGCTCAATTCTGAACATTTCTCAAATTAATGGGTCGTTTTAAAAAGGTATCTCATCTGTAAAAAGTATTTTCACTAAAAACGTAGCATCAATAGTAGGTACATTTATCTATCATAGTATGGCAAAATTGTACTCGCAACGGATGATCAGCAATTTTTAGTTCGTGCACTGTTGACAAGTGGCTTAAATTTCCTGTCTCTGTAAAACGTCGTTCGATATTTAAAACTTTTTTCTATCAGGTTATCTCCAAATGGAAATTTTTTCGCAATATCGTCTCACCGCTGCGTTAGCATTGTCTAAACACTCTCCCAACTTTAAAAGCAAGTCAGTTTGCTCACTAAAAATGGAATTATTAACTATTTTCAACAACTAGTAGCTACTAATGCTTGTTGGGTAACAATTTAATTAAGATTAAAAAATACACAGCTAAATCGAAGTTGTATCTTTTTATGAATAACTCGAAAACGATGCGTCTAATCAAAAATTTTTAAGATTGAAAATAATTTTAACATGAAATAGACTTTTAGAATCAGTTAGAAAATTTAAGGGTTTACGATATAATAAAAAAATTTTAAGGAATTAACCTTTATGAACATTCTGTATAGCATTGATCCTGTGATCTTAAACGATTTCTTATGACTTTCTAAGAAAATATAAATTTTGTTAATACTGAAGGGACCAAGATGTTTCTGACGACCTATGCGAAGTTAACCCTAATATTTCCAGGCCCCAATTAGATAGGATTGTACATGTATAGTGTTTTAATTGTAAGGTGTGATTCACAATAAATGCGAATATGAAAAAATCCGCGATCTATAAATTCGCTAATTCAGTGCTGTTTAAAGGACTCAGTTGAGTCCTTTAACAGAGAACAAAGAAATTAAAAATATATTGATTCAAAATGTTAATTAAAACAGAAAATGTATCAATGTTAATCTTTTTTTTTTCATCCGCTGTTTTACCATTTCTACCTTTTAGTGTAATTTGTTGACGTTCTCTCTTCTAATTACTCTATTTTTTTCAAACTTTCTATTTTTTATTGTATACACAATCCCACACCAAAATAATAATTCCGTTGTTTCATCGATGTTAAATAAAGCTTTATTTTTATGCAAGATAATTTTGCGTTTCATTTCATAGAGATTTTTTTTTCTGAATTGAACATTTAATAGAGACAAAAGATAAATGTTTTCCGAATATCTCATATAGGATAATGTAGCAGACACAAAAGTGAAAGAGACCCTAATAATTTTTAATCACAAATCAGTTATTTTAATGTACACTAAAGAATGAGATAAGAAGTCCATAAAAAGACACCTTATATAATGTTTTTAAATGGGCATTTGTAAAGTGTAATGATACACATTTGTAATCGGACATTTCGACATCCACATTCAGCCATAGCCAAGCTTTCCATTGAGATATAAAACATTAAAATCCGTCAAACCGTTTTATAGTTATAGTCGATTTAATCAAATTCGATCTTATTGGTGCCAAACACGGTGCCATTCTGCGGGCTCTGCAAGGTTAACGCGAAAGAATTGACCCACATGCCCAGTATATAATTTCGGTAGAAGAAACTATGGCGAATCGAATGATGTATAGATCTTGATAATCGACTGTATTATTTGCGATTTATGATCACATAAAAA